TGAGTTTGAATAGAGTGCCTTGATTAGTGCAATGTACTTTCTTGGCACTCCCTTCACAGTCAGACATTGCCATAGTACCTTTCGATCCACGGAGTCGAAGGCCGCCTTCAAGTCAAGAAATATGACAATTGTTGCACGTCGAAAAGAGTGTCTATGTTCTAGAATCTGTAGAAGAGAGAAGATATGATCTATGCACCCTCTACCTGGTCTAAAGCCTGCTTGATTTTCCCTTGTCTGTTCCTCCCGAGTTCTGCTTAGTCTATGCATGATTACTGAGCCTAGGATTTTAGAGACTATGTTCGTTAGGCTGATCCCCCTATGATTATCACACGAGGACTTGTTTCCCTTCTTGAATATCGGTATAATAAGTGACTTACCCCAGTCTGATGGCACTGTCTCTGATTCCCAGACTTTGCCTAGTACCTCAGTTAATCTACAAACTAGTATGTCACCCCCATATTTAAACACCTCCGGAATAATTCCGTCGGGTCCTGCCGCTTTGCCTCGTTTCAAATTACTGATAGCTTTTGTGACCTCACTACAGACGGCGGACCAGTGTCTATATCCCATTCGGGTGTGGTGGATGGCGGGGAGGTTCAGTGTGGCTGTAGGCAAGTTAAATTGTTCCTCAAAGTGTTCTTTCCAGCGTTCAAGGCGTCTATCCTGAGAGCTAATTAAGGAGCCATTTTTCTCAGAAATAGTCTCACTTATGAATTGCCTTCTCCCACCCGTTTCTGATGAGTCTAAAGAGTTGCCTAGTGTTGCCTATCGCCGATGCTTTTTCCATCTCTTTTGCCTTTGTCACCCACCACTGTTCACGGTCCTTGCGGAGACTTTTAGTAAGTTTCCTTTTGTGCAGCTTTCGCTCCTCATTGAATTCGGAGCTCGCCGGAATAAGTCTTCTAGCATCTATCAGTTCGGATGAGGCAGTCGAAATCCAGTGGTTTTTACTCACCTTTGGATTTGCCTTATTCACAGCTTTTACAGCTGTATCTATAGCTGACTGAATATTCTTCCAGGCTTCTCCAGGGTGAGCACAGCTGTCGAATTCAGATATGCGTTTAGCTAGTTCTTCCTCAAATAGGGATTTAGTTTCCTGATCGAGCTGGGGACGTGATGGTTTTACCGCCAGCTGTTTCCTACGTCCGTTCAGTCGTAAGCACACACGAGCCCGGACCAGTGCGTGATCGGTATCTACACACGTGTTCCAGAAGGAGCGACAATCTCCTACCGACCCACGCCAACGATAGCTTATTGCTATGTGGTCTATTTGTGTCCAGCGTTGGTTTGATGATGGGGGTCGCCAGGTTAAACAGTGTCTCTCCTTGTGTTTAAAGTTAGTGCTTACAAGAAACAAATGATTATCTGAACAGAACTGTAGGAGACGGTCACCGTTGTCGGTTCGCTGGCACGGAACTCCATAGGTGCCACCGACATCCTTCTCAGATTGACACAATTTCCCTACTTGAGCATTAAAGTCACCAGCTAGAACGACTATATCTGAGCGTTTAGCCTTTCTCACCAAACTAGACAGCTTTTGGTAGAACTCATCCTTCGTTTCATCCGAACTGCAGTCAGTGGGGGCGTAGGCGGAGATTACGAAAAGGCATCGGCGAGTAGTGCAGTCCTTTCTCCTTCTTACTGATCCGTTCAGACGGACAGCACACATTCGGCTATCTACTGGGATCCAGTCAAGCAATGTCTTTTCTGCCCTAGTACTCAAGCTATCCCTACGCCAGCTAATCCTCGTGAACTAGCTGTGGCATCTCCTGACACCCTCAAGGTGAATTTTGAAGATTCATCCTGTTGGCCAGGTGGGGTTAGGTGAATAACCACACTTGGGTCTTGTATGCGTGTTTCTGAAACACAACATACATCAATGGCTCGGATGCCAGGGTCTTAGCTAGTGATGCTTGTTGTCCTATTTGGCAAAGTGTCCTAACATTAAATGCTCCTATATGAAATTGGTGGCGTGGCTTTAGGAGACTATCGTGGTGGTTTTTTGGCTTTCGTCGTTTTTAGTGGACACAGAGTGAAGAGGGAGTGAGGAGCCATCAAGTAGAGGAGTTGCATCAGTGGGAAGAAGGCAAGGTAATAGAGATGAAGATGAAGACAAAGATAAGTGAGGATTAGAGAGGTTTTGTGTGCATTTCGGATTGTGAGGGCGTTTGTTACTTCCCGGCTGCCCACACCGTGGAAGTTGGTTGCGTGACCGCAGAGCCCAGGGGACAACTGCTTGAGGCCGGTCACACGCGGCCTGTTTTTGTTTGTTCTTTGTTTGGTGTGCCTCAGTAGCATACTTATCACTCCTGCCCTGTGACACGGCAGCAGGAAGCGCGGTCGTTGTTAATCCGGGCCACGGCCGATCCGGCATGAAATTTTGTGAATTAAATTAAACCATTTCGACTCACCCAGTGATGGCTTCATTCTGCGTATTAGCTTTAATTTGCTTTTTCAACTTTTTCATCTTGAAACACAGGCACAAAATATATTCCTAACTCCTGAAGCATTCACCATAAACAACGGGCTACTAACACCAACTTTAAAATCTGCCAGGGGAAGTCTACGCAAACATTTTTCAGATATTATTACAAATTTGTATGAAGAAAAAGAGAAAGGCTTTTGAGTATTAAATTCATGCAAATGAAACTGAATTTCACCCAATATAAGAATATTTTTTTCTGTTGTAAAACTTTATACTACTTTCAGAATATCTTTTTAGTCTGATTTATTTGTTGTTGCTTTTTTTCAAAATTGACTTTGCTATACTATTTGATTTCCACTTGGGAACCAATGTTGATTAGTATAAAATTAAATGAATCTGTAATGTTTTTTCTTCAATTATACCAATTTATAAATAAATGGTAATGTTATAATTAGATAATGCTGTTCAGATTTATAAGCACTAATGTACCTCTAGTCTCATGAAGTGCATCAGCAGCCAGTATTTTTGGATGCGACTGGTAAAAGAATAATACAAAGGTTCCGTATATAGTCAGGTGCAGCTGTTAATTTTGTCTTACACGCACATCCCAGCCAACGCGCTCCTAAACCTCACTTAACCGATAGTAGGCCCGGAAAAGAGGAAAGGTTACGAGTGAGGTTAGCAACACAACACAAACGCAACTGAAACTCCAAAGCTTAAAACAAGAAGTCCTACGCTCTATTCGGAAGGAAAGCAAAAGAATGGAGAAAAAGTTGATGAAAATGTAGCAGGAAGTAATTGCCAAAAATTATAAGCCTATAGCATTCCTCACTCAATACTGGATGCTGACCTTCATTGTTGAAGTCAACTTGTTAAACTGAAGGCATACTGTCAAGCATCCACGCCATTCGGCATGCTACTGTGTTACGTTCGTGCCCGATCCCAAGCTAGATAGGCAATTGTCATCGTTCTATGATTTTGATCTCGAAATATACCTCGTGTTTTGGACGGCTAATTTGTTGTTTTGATTTACCTTTGGTCTAAATAGAACAAGTACATTGGAAGTTGGAGGAAAAATACTTGTGCTTGCATCTAGTGTGTCCAGCGTAACCGCCAAGATCCATCATCTCCTCAAACACTATAAGCACATGGCAACTGAGATTGCTATCTTAATTTTGACTTATGCCTATACACAGTTTAACCCTATGATATCCACTTCTGTAGGAAGTTAAGACCGATCGGTCTAAGATACGGTCCAAATGTTTGAACTCTGTCATCACTGATCACCACAATAAAATTTACACGACAGACAAAGCCGTTGGTTACAGGTCGTAAATGAAATCGCTCAGAATCAGTGGCTGAGGTGCGTGCATACTTAGTCCTCAATTTTAGTGTTATATCGGTATCCACCTACCTTATACATTTTTATAGAATTATGACGTTCCACAACTTCTTGCTTCCTTATTGCACATTACCACCTAGTCTTCTCTTTCGTTACCTTTCACTTATTAGGCAAAACTGACACCCTGTAACTTGGAACGTTCTACAGTATTTCTACATCTTATGATGACAGTATCAGTCCGAATATTCAATGAACCAACCTTCTGATCATCTAGAAAGGAATTACTTAAAGTATTACTTATACCAGGATGACACCGGCCGCAAGCCATTCTGTGGAGACAGCGATGATGGAAATTTCAAAACTTAGACGAAATGAAGCCCAATCTTCAAGAATCAACATTTTCACGCGTTTTACAAGGCTTAGTTACCATGATAGTAGGTAATATTCTTGATGCGACTGACAACAGACCAATACTATAACGATGGTCAAATGAAAAGGCAGACACGAATGTTTTCATTCTGAACTGACAGAGCACTCACATTTCCCATACTTTTCAGAACAATCCATTCTGTTCCGTAACTACAACTTCACCACTATCTTAAAAAATAGCTTAGGGTAAATTGTCTGGACCAGATAACCCATGGTGTTCCAGTACTTGGGGCTCCTTTTATAACTCTATCACATTAGGTGGGTTCATGTTTACAGACCATTATGCTCTAAAATACTGAATACTGGCTTTGCAGACCAACTAAGTCGTTTCCCAAAGTACTCTGTCCAGTGTTCCAGGAGTCCTTTTAAGACTGACAACTGGCACACCATCTGCTTCACAAATCGTCTCGTTGACACTGATTTCATCTTACCCGCTTTATAAAACCATTTTACCTACTTTTGCTTTATACAACAAAATATTACGGCTCAGTCATACATCATATTACATACTAATCAGCTTTTGGAGTGCATCATATGGTCACATGCAATCTGAGGAAATCACAGCAACCTGAAATTGTTCCTATTAACAAAGTGCTAATGAAACGCTACCGTGTTTAAACATCACAGTAACTCATAATACAGCACGTTTGGAAACGCGAAATATGTACCGCCGATGCGCTTAATTAAAGAAGATAACTGTTCTAAACCGTTACTTCATTGAACTCATAAACAACGTAATTCAAGCTATCGATATCAATAATTACTCACATTTTAAAATTTCAATAATAAGCAAAAAGAAGTCAGTTTTAAAGAAACACTCTTATTTTGTGATATATGTACAAATAGGAAATCCTGTTTTAAAAAAAGTTACTCGGGAACAACGACAGTGGCTTGTGGCTTCTTACCCTTAACTTTCAAGCGCTTCATTCTTTGTTGCTCTCTCCTTCTAATAGCGGCACGCTTTTCAGCCATAGAGCGTGCAATCTTAGCGTACCGTTTCCTGTGAACTCTGGATAAAGGATAATTGAAAGTAAGATAGACAATGTTTAAAGGGTAATAAGGTCATGAAATATGTAATCTCTTATCGGTCTAACTGAGAATAACAAATCATTTTTAAAGGAAAGGAAAAGGTTAAAACAAATTCACCTTCAAAACAACTCTCGGATAATGGAGAAATATGTTATGCAACAACTTATAGAATTTTTTTCATTCACGTTCCCCAGTGGAACACAGGGCTTTAAGCTAGAAGGCTTCAAGTTTCTGTAGCAGTGTTTAATTTTACAGGATGGGATTGTATAAATATTAATCAGAATAAAACTATTGTTGTTGTTGCGCTGTTGTATGACCTGAAGTAAAACAGTCAGGCTTTAAATTATCTTGAATTTATCATTTCATTCCTTGTATACATCGAAATTGAATATTGAATGATTGATCCCTCTATATATGTGCTTAACGCAGAGATGATTAAAATAATCGCTTTAATTTAGTCAACTGTTGCGCACATGACAGCAGAATTACACGCATATATACTGATGCGTATTTCACAGAGGTTAAAATAGTGTGGAGGTGTAATTTTTTAAGCAATTTATCATAACAGCATCGAAATGCTAACGACAATTTTTCAGACACTAAAATAAATAAAGTGCTATGCACACCTGAAAAGCATATTTAATCAGACCTAATTTATTTGTGCGTATGCACATTATATTATTATTTTTTCCTTCACGTTCCCAGCGGGACATAGGGCCTCAAGCTAGAAGGCTTGAAGTTTCTGTAGCAGTGTTTAATTTCACAGGATGGGATTGCTAGCCTCATGCCCAACCTTTCCTCTCTACCAGGATTATTTCTGGCTTAGCGAGGTAAAGGAGTGCGTCGGCCGAGGATCGAACCCCGGACCATGTGCATGGTCGGCCAGCGTCCCAACCGCTGTGCCACCGACGCACATGCACATTATATACAGTCCTTTAAAAACGCCTTGAATTTCGAGGCTATCGAAAGCATACTGTACACTGGCACTATATGCACAAAAGACTGGTCAGGTATCCTCCAAATTTTTACAGACCTGGGAAAAAATGAATTTTAATTGGTATCAAGAATCAATACTGACTCAATACCAGGATCAATGACACACTAACGTTCTATGGATTTTCCATTAGTGTAATGCTAATTACACTGACACTAAAGCACTTGAGACTAAACAGTTTCATTGATTTTCAATTACGATGGTATATGAGGGAGGAAATAGATAATGTTATTAGAAGACGGAGATTATTTGAAAAATGTGATGTATTTGCACAATACATTTCGAACAATTTGATCACACACTTCACTGGTCAATTTATATGAAGAATAAAGGCCGATTAAATTAGACAAAGTGACAAAAAAGATTTAAGAATAATAAGAATAATTAACACTACGTTTGGTTATCTGATCAACTAAGGATTATCAAGGTAGGTTAAGAGCGATAACAAAACGTTTTTGTACACACTGTAGGTGGGGGGGGGCTTAAGTTCACGAATAGCTGTTACCTCAGTGTCACCTCTCTTGTTACGTAAGCTTGCTGCAACACAGGCTGAGAGCTGGACAAATAAGTGGCTGCATTCCTATTTTTCTGATAGGAAGCAGTACACCGTCTACAATGGAAAGTCCTCCACTACCTCACTCACTTTAGCTGGTGTTCCTCAAGGTGCTGTTCTTTCTCCCTTTCTGTTTTCGTTTTTATAACATGAGTTGCCTCATTCTGATGTAGCCACTTTTGTTAAGTATGCCGATGACCGCTCGGTTTCTATGCCTGTCAACTCTCAGTCAGATTGTTCCAAATTAAATAACTTTCTATCGGAAATTAGTCAGTGGTCCTCTTCAAACGGACTTAAGCTTAATCCGTCTAAATGTCAGGTAGTCAATTTCACTTTCAGACGTAAATGTGACCTACAGCAACTAGTTAGCTCACATGGCCCCACTATCATTGACGACACAGAGGTTGAAAATACATCTAATGTCAAGTACCTTGGGCTGAGTTTTTCTGCCGATCTTTCCTGGTCTTCCCACATCTTGCTACTTACTAGAAAGATGTTTCGCTTAACGTTCTACATTAGGAAATTTAGTCAGTCTGGCATAAAGCAGTCTTTGCTTTCTCAGTTTGTAAATTCTTGTATTCTAAACATCCCACTTTACTGCTCCCCATTAATCTTTCCTGGACTACTTAAGAAAGACTTTGCTTCGCTGAGAAGGGCACTAAAAGCCGTTAGTAGGGCAAGTGGGATATCGTTAAACCAACTGGTTAACACTATTGTAGATAGACATATTATATCATGTAAGAAACTAGCGCATACAATATTGTCAGAACCCGAGCATCCTCTCTACACGCAGCTGTCTCCTTGCATTTCATCTGGTAGAACTAGAAGCAGCTATAGGCGGCTATATGCTAGGACTACCAAATACATAAACTCCACAATACCATATCTGGCACAGCTGTTATGTGATGAGAAATCTGTCAGGTATGACACGATCAACTTACTGCGGCACTCTAACAAATATTCCCATCAGTTTTTGTTTTCCTTTCCTCGTTACTACTACACTGTTGTTCTCATCTTCTATCACACATCAACTTTATATCTCATATCCTGTGGTGCATTGTTTGAAATGTAAACTCTACGCTGTTTGTTTTTTTATTTTTATTTATCTTTTATTTTTTTGGCGTTGGTCTTTATTTATTTATTTTTCTTGATTTCTTTTTATTTCTTTTTATTCATCTATTTTTTGGGTGTTGCTTTTTGATTTTAAAAATCTTATATAATTTATGAGGTAATTAGATGCAATATACTGTAATGCACGTTGGAAATTCCATATCTGTACCACAAATACAGTTTGGAATAAAGCTGTTATTATTATTATTTCAATAAGCACCCTTGACAGTTTCAAAACTAACCTTAACAGGCGTTCTGACATCACTCTTGTGCTTTATATCGATTAGATGTTTAGCTATAGACGAAGTTGGTAGTCTGCCACCTGCGTTTGTCGATTTTCCAAAGTTTATCTATTTTTCTAACCATCTTGAAATATGTCCTTCCAACTTCACATGCAAAGCGCTACTTCTTATCCCTATGTTGGTGCGTCCATCCAAGCACACACGTAAGTTAGTACATAGTATGGGATGAGACGCAATCACTTGCGAAATTTTGAGGTTTGTGGTGGAGAATATTTTGGCTTTTTCAATAAGTATAAACCAAGCTGCATAATAGGTCTTGCGGATAACCGAGTTTAGTCTGTCAAAATCCATTTTAAGATAGTTTAGTGAAAACATTTTTCTGCACCGGTTTAAAATTTTTAAAGGATATCCGTTTTCAACAAGAGCATCCTATATAACATCAGCTGTACAAATACGCTGAATCCTCGTAAATAGACATTTGACCGAGCCTTTGTTACACTGTAGTTGACAGATGCTGTGAAAATTTAAGTATTGCCCTGTTCAAGTAGGATATCTGTAAGTTGATCGTTTTATTCAACCATCGTCTCTCTCCGACTCAGAAATATGTCTAAAAACGTATAAGCTAAGTGCGATTTTCCTCCTCGCATGAAAGACTTATATGATTCTGTACGGAGTTAAGTCCACCCAGTAGACGACGACTCGCATCTTCATGATCATTGCATATCAAAATAATGTCATCTACATACCGCCTGCAGAAAGCTACTTTAGCTGTTAAATCAGCAGACAGGTTTTCAATATAAACATATACACATCTGCCAAAAAAGATTTTAATAGACTTCCCAAAGCAACGCTATCCATCTGTCGGAAGTACTCACCTTCTAATATGAAATGGACGTTGTGAGTATATAATAGTAATAAATCCTCCAAATAAGTTTAAGAAAAAGGGAATGAAAAACAACTGGAAGATGTGTGTAGTCACAAAGAATATCAATAGACTTAATCAATTGTGTGATTGGTTGGAGGACATCATCATGAGTTGATATTGTATACCAAGAGAATACATTTTCATATATTTTATATTCATGTCTACAATACAGTCAACAAGTTCAAATGTACCTTTCAAAGAGAACTTGGATAATTCATTGCGTATTAGGCTTAAAATGCCAGCTAACCATTTTGCTAATTTATATGTACAAGAGTGACACATTGATAGAATTGGACGTAATGGATTGCCAACGTTATGAATCTTGGGTAATCCATAAACGTTTGGAAAGTTAGACCCCCCAAAGGTCCCAATGAATTCAAACCTTGTTCTTCAATAACATCTATGCCACGAGTTTTTACTAAATGAGATTTTTCTTCCCCTTCCAATTTTCCAATATCAGCTATGAATTTAATATTATGATAAAGAATGGATAACATTTTTGTTTTATAATCACATTTATCCATTACAATCACACCAGATCCTTTGTCAGATCTGTTATGTGATTCCTTTAGGGCTTTGAAATGGATGGAGGTCAAAATGCTTTTTTGTTCCCGACTTGAATTACGGAATTGATGTCTTACATCTACAAATTTAACTTTCAAACAGCTTTGATCATTTGTCGAGGCAGGAACTAGAGGACTGAATCGATCATACACATTTTCAAACTGGGAATCAATTCCCAAGTCTGAAATATTGTTTAGTAGGAAAGAAAAATTGGAACTAAGTGACAGTGCCTCCGTCTCGTTTACTGAAAGATCAACTGATGACAAATTCGTCAGATTGTTCAAAATGTATTACGCAAATACATTACATTTTTCACATGATTTCCGTCTCCTAACAACACTAAATACCCAAATTTATAAAAGCCGTTAGTTGTTTTAAATAATGTTAATTTAACATTCTTGACACAGACTATTGTATTCATCTATATGTACAGAGATAAAAAGGTATGCAGGCCAGGAAAATGTGTTACCCACTCAAGTAAACAATACATAACATATTACAGAAAAAATACAAATTTCACCCCAGAAATCCATACAACCATAATCAACAATTACCAAAACGAAAAGGTTTAACTTACTTCATTATTTCAGCATTAGCTAAAAGTTCATCAACAAGAGTTTTCCCTCTTTGTTTACGTGGTAGTCTATCATAGAAACTGCCTGGATCGTCTACAACTACACCTCTCTAGAAATAATAGAAATTTTGAATTGGTAAAAAAACAACATGAATCCATTGGAATGCATTCAAGGTAGACAAGAGAAACAGATGAATTAATTATTTGAAAGAGTTGTACATTAGACATACCAGTTGAATTTCCTCTACTTCATGCATTCCATACAATAAAATCCACACTCACTAACATGAATTACAAAGAAAATTTCGAAAACCTAGATGCTCCCCCAGGTATATATAGTCCTGTGTGGTGATATATTCATCAATTACTTGTAATTATAGACACACAGCATAACCATTTCAGTCGATAAAGATTAACAGTCCCATTAACTGATCTACTTCACATATATTCTTTAATAGTACTACCCAGTTAACGGTCGAATGAACTGTAAAATTTGCACAGAATCGTCAACTGATAAACCAGGGTGAAATTCTTATTGTCTTTTTCACAAGACAGCAATGTATTAAGGGTAAAATTCACATGCACAGACACACAGAGATCTCCTAAATAGACTATTTACTTGTTGAATGGTATTACAGTAGAAATTCATGCACATAGCAAAATCCACATTGATGTACAGGCATTTTAATGTAGATAATAACGGAGATGTGTAGCTCAGATGGAAGATTATGGCGTAGTTGTGTTCCCTGAGTCGGATGGTTCGGTTGCAAAGCTTTCATTTCGATAAGCTTAGAGTCACAAATCCACCCATGTTAACAAAACTGCTGAGGTGAACAAACCAGTAAACATATATGTATATACTTCATTTACTAAAATCTAGGAGGTAGAATTGTGACAATCGAAGACAAAGACCTTTTTCTTTGAGAAACACTGAGAAAAAGGGACGGCGATGCTACAATTCAGTCTGTGAAAACCAGTCATCAGAAGGTGTCTTTCATCCTAATATTCATCCTCAATCAGTGCAATGAACTAATACCACGCTAACACGAGTGACAAACCCCTGAGAAATCACTTAACTTTTTATACTAACTTGTATTGTACATTTCCAATACTGTCTACAACTACATATGCGAAACAAGAATATAGAAAAGTATGGAAATAAACATTAATTGATGGAAACTTTTAAATAATTTACCTGGAAGTAAGTAGATTTGCCGTCTGCCTTTCTAACATGTGTATCCGAAGAAATAGCTCGACGTAGTCGAATTAGTTCTAAATCATCACGATCTTCTTCAGTAACTTCAGGTTTTGGCAAGTCAAACCAATTTGACAGTTTACTTTTACGTTCGGCCTATGCAAAAGTCAGTGGAAATAGAAAAGATATAATTTATTCAAGCGTCGGTTAACATTTGAAAAATGAGGAAAACCTGGTGGGACAAATTCAATCAAACAAGTAAGTGACAAATAACTTATAACGATGACAACGCTGTCTTGCCTAACTGATTTAAACGCTGGATTATCATTCAGTGTATCTAAGGTTGAATTCTCTTTCTGAAAACCAAGTCTTGAGTAACTCTCGTATATTGTGGTTACTATTTATATTCTTGAAATGTGTTGTGATTTTTACATTACACCTGCAATATGATTCCTGGAGAAATGTTTCTTCCAACTGGAAGTGAATATCTATCGACTATAACAGAATCAAAATAGGTTTATGGGAAAAGATAAACACTTAATGAATGTCTACTATCCTGCAGTGTTTGGACTAGGTGAAGTTACATCTATCAACACGAGAAATTTTCAATACTGTTGCTTTTAGTACTTTTGCATCAAATTTCCGCAGTGGTGTTGATATTTTAACCAACACATTTGGTTTTCAGTGAGATTCTCTTGTTACTATTTCGTACTATATACGCCATATAATTATGAAAAACAGTTACAATCATTATTGCAGTTAGGTTATTTATATTCACTATAAACTCTACAAACGTCTTTTTTGACCACATACAACCTGGAAAATGGTTGTTAAAGAATGCAACGTAAGGCAGATATGATTGGGTTTACAAGTGTCTAAGCCACCGAAACAATGAAACTTACCACCTCACAGATGAAAGGTAACATCATGATTTAAAGGACGATGATGAACGATAAGAAAATCTCTGTAAAATGCTGCGTATACCCATCAGACGAAATTTATGAGACTGACAAATAGATGGACATCATGTACAGATGCATATTACTACAAGTTATCCCCCTTCGCAACACTTTACCCTGATGACGCTAAAAGAAACAGCAATATGCACTTAAATCTGGACAGATGTAATTGTGCTATTGCTTTAGGTAAAGCGGGAGGCACAGACAGAATTGCTTCATCAAAATTTTCTAAGAAAATCAGATGAATGAAATTTACTTCACACCAGTCACCTATTTTTAAAATAGTCGAACCTCAAGGAACAATAAATTCAGCTGAGAATTTATTCAGCTGTCATTGAATCTTATAAACGTGACAACGGAAAAAAATATGATGGCTGTAGATTTGCGATGAAATCTACCGATTTTTGATTACGTGAGTAGTAGTAGTAGTAGTTAGTAGTTAGTAGTTAGTAGTTAGTAGTTAATAGTTAGTAGTTAGTAGTAGTAGTAGTAGTAGTAGTAGTAGTAGTAGTAGTAGTAGTAGTAGTAGTAGTAGTAGTAGTAGTAGTAGTAGTAGTAGTAGTAGTAGTAGTAGTAGTAGTAGTGAGAGTCATCAGTTCAACTACTAGCCTTAAACACTTTACCAAACACGGCATTAAAATATTAAATATGTGAAGATGAAATATGATTGATTTCTACATAAAAATAAAGAAAACTTCCTAGACCGTATCGACAGAAATTAATCAACCAAGACAAACGCAGTTAACAATCGTAACTAGTTATAATATAATATCCAATTATAAAACACAACTAAATGCACTCACCCGACGTATTCTTTTTACTTCCCGTTTACTGTGAAGACCAGGTATCGACGTCAGGTAGTAGGGATTCTTTAGGTAAACGAAAAAGTACTGATATTGTAAATGTAGAGGTTAAGTGTTATCAAAACTGTTAATTACATTTGAAAATAATAAAGAATATATCTTCTTCAAAGTTTTTATCCCTCTGTCTATTGTGCATAAGCGTATTAAGTGTGAGTCATTATGTGTTCTACGGCTGTCAGTAAATTTAGCCTCTCTACACAATTCACTAGGATGGTGTGCAATATGACTGAACACATATGGTTGCAAATCTTGTTTGTGGACTTACCATCATCGTAAATGTAATTATCAATTAAAGATAACGGACGTTAACAAAAACAATGACTGACTGGCTGGTTTCAACATAGAACTTCGCACCGATGTACAGCAGTTCGAATCACCACACTCCATGCAGCACACAATGCAAGAGAAGAGAGTAAAGGAAGGTTCAAGGGAAAAATAATACACAGGAGAGTTTTATTGGATATGACAAATCACAAAGAGCGAATGCATCTGCATCAGTCATTGAGAACGATTTTTAGCCATATAGCCAACTGTCTCCAGCCAATGGTTCTTACCGTTCCAAAGACCCCAAACCAAAAATCCACACATCTGTATATGGCTTAGGCTAACTGTTATGGATTTCATTGACTGATGTCATGTTTTGGTTTGAGCATCACTAACTCTTTCCCAACCTGACGTGATGTTAGTTAACATCGCCTGTCAGTGTACAAAAATAGTGAATCAAATACTTATAAACACTGACATTCAATAAACTGACCTCACTGGCAGGTTTTTCATTTTCAACAGTATCAGTCTTGAGTATACCCAATCCTTGCCATAATTTTGCTTCTAGCTTGGGATCATAAGGTTCCGATTTAGAAGAAAATGGATTTTCTAAGATGCTATAGTCGACAGAAGACGACTGGAGAAATTCGGATGAGCAGTCTGACAGTTTGACCGGTGGCTTCCATCTAAATCATAAAAGTGTATTATTTTTAAATCGAGGTGCTGGAACTCAAAACTACAGCAGATGAACACATCAAGTTCAATCTGTAATAGATTGCTTAGCATTTGAAATTATTTGCTTAGAGAAATAAAGCTAACAGTTTTTACTTCAACGTCATAAGAGTAAGATTATTTTGACCACTATCAACAATTCAGTTGCAATGCCTATAGTTGCACAAACGTAGTGACCTAATATGCATGAGCAGTTGCTTCCATTTCACCTGTAAGATAAGGAAACAAGAAACTTTTTGTTCGAACGCTATGGAAAATAATTCCACTTGTTTGCAGATACTTAGTGACACTGTCTTTTTCCAAAGATAGACGGGTAGACGATAGAAAGTTCATATACCGTTCAATATTTCTTCTTTTACGGGTTATTTATCAGTCATGTCTATTCCATCTTATTTGGTTTCGTAACGTGTTCTTGTTATTCTGATCTATTCAAAAAACGACAGGCTTCCTATTACAAATTGCTAGAAAAAATTGAATGACACCTCTAGGTGATGTATTTAGGTATTAACTATCACAAAAAAGTTGCATAAATGCCTTTCCTGCGTCTTTTTATCGTCATCTGAGCTTTTTATTTTCCAAGTAACTCACTTATATGAATATCACTGCTACCTATATTTTATCTGCAATGCAATTTTGGCATTGTTTTACTTGTAAACTTAGAGAGAATTTTTACATGCACTACACCATTCTGTGTTGTCTCTACGGTTATGTATACCTTTTCCGCTCATATTTTATCAGTTACCAAATAACCTAAAACAACTTAAACGCTTATATGCTAGATCACGAGGTGATGTAAGTTAGAGAAGCATTGAAAACCAGAGAGTACTGAATAGATGTTCCTTCGTAATTTGTGACTCTTCATCGGCACGCAAACAAGGCTGATGAGTGATGTGGTGTATTTTCATGCTCATCCTTTAATGAAAAATAATGATTAACGACCAGTCTTATTATTTTTTTTAATTTACTGGCAAAATCACAAGGATAATATAGTGAAATGTTTGTCACACTATCGATTTTCAGACAGCTTACTAACAAAATGTAACAAAACTAGAAATCACTTTAACTGATACAATTCGATCACTTCAAACCAAATAAACATACACGTGTGAAGTGTTATATGGTATAAAAGACAATTCAGCTTCCTGCATCATACGAAGTTGAAACAGACTCTGTAAGTAGTGATTTTCTTCTTGGTAATCTCAGTTGTGAGCAGACAGATTGGTCAATTGAGGAATATCTGAAACAGAAAGAGAGAGAGTGTGTGTGAAAGTACATAATAATTCAAAGCTGACTACTAGCTTACACTTCTTTTTTGTCATAATTTACCAAACTTCATTTAAGCATTGGATATAATTGACGGCCATCGAAAACCAACAGACATGAACAGTTACTTACCTTATTTATCTCAGTTTGCACCTACCCAACCGATAGTTACTGCGTTGAAACCACAGTAAATCAATGAATTAAACTGGTTGGATCGAATGTTCTTCAAAGTCGTACCGTTCTAGCGGTTAAAACGAGAACAATTATAATTATAGGGTATTCCCAACTGTATAGTGGGGGTGTGAGGATGAAGTCATATTGCTGACCATGAAGAGTGCAATGTCATTACTGTGTTTATTTTAGGCAACCAGTAATCCAGCTATGCTACTCCACCACTCTGTGAACCAACTGTTTAAAATCAACTACCTAGAACATATGTTCCAGACTTACTGTGAGAGGGCTATTGATACCAACCAGTTTTCCAGGCTGAAGTGGTGAAACTGGCATTAGTGACGAGTTGACTGAAAACCGACTACTTAAATCAGTGAGCCAGATCCCCGCTGAGGATAGGTTGGAAAAAATTACACGTCCTAGCCTACTCTAATACAGTTCTCAGCAGAGGACCTGTTGGCGACTTCGCTCTAAATCACCCCCGATAGCGCAGATGTTTTCACTCGGTTTGGTTCTCTAGATCCATTGAATCTTTACTATTCATTTAATTACTCATTCTGGATAAATATAGTTTAATTAACTGTATCTTTTCTCCACTGTAATCGGTACTTTCATTATCGCGATTTGAATAACTGGATTTCTGGAAAAAGTTCCAGAATGGTTATTCGTTCATTCAACCTGAAGTCGACAGTTAAGTTTCCTGTATAAGCGAAATAATGCAAACCTTACTCCCAAACAGTCTGTGAATGGTCTCAAGCAGCCGTCCACTGGAATCAACAGTCATACAACATTAATGCTTTCTCACTTTCAGGTGGTTTAAAAAATCAACTGCCCACAAGATTTCATATGTAATCAAAATTTACTGTTTATCGTCCACCTACATCACTTATTTACTTCTACTGCTAACACCGTTCCCCAGACAGCTTTTTTCACATTATGACCGCTGATATTGACTTAAGCCAGAAGAACACCAACCATAGTTCCTGAACGGACGTAGGAAACAGCTGGCGGTAAAACCATCACGTCCCCAGCTCGATCAGGAAACTAAATCCGTATTTGAGGAAGAACTAGCTAAACACATATCTGTGTTCGACAGCTGTGCTCACCCTGAAGAAGCTTGGAAAAATATCCAGGCAGCCATAGATACAGCTGTAAAAGCTGTGAATAAGGTAAACCCAAAGGTGAGTAAAAACCACTGGATCTCCACCGCCTCATCCGAACTGATAGATGCTAGAAGACTTATTCCGGCGAGCTCCGAATTCAATGAGGAGCGAAAGCTGCACAAGAGGAAACTTACGAAAAGTCTCCGCAAGGACCGTGAACAGTGGTGGGCGACAAAAGCCAAAGAGATGGAGAAAGCTTCGAGGATAGGCAACACCAGGCAACTCTTTGGACTCATCAGGGAAACGGGTGGGAGAAGACAAATCATCAGTGAGACAATCTCGGAAAAAAATGGCACTATAATTAGCTCACAGGATAGACGACTGGATCGTTGGAAAGAGCATTATGAGGAGCAGTTTAATTTGCCCACAGCCACGCTCAACCTTCCGAGCATCCAACACCTCCCTGAATGGGATATAGACACAGGTCCTCCGTCACTAACTGAGGTTACTAAAGCTGTCACCAATCTGAAACTAGGCAAAGCAGCGGGACCTGATGGAATGACTCCAGAGGTATTTAAGTACGGTGGAGACAGCTTACTGTCCGGATTAACTGAGGTACTAGGCAGCGTTTGGGAATCAGAAGAAGTCCCATCGGGTTGGTGTAAGTCACTGATTATCCCCATATACAAGAAGGGAGACAAGTCTTCCTGTGATAATCACAGAGGGATTAGCTTGACTAATATAGTATCTAAAGTCTTAGGCTCAATAATCATGCGTAGACTGAGTGGTGCTCGGGAAGCACAAACACGAGAGAGCCAGGCAGGCTTTAGACCAGGAAGAGGGTGTATTGATCATATCTTCACCCTCCGACAGATTCTAGAACATAGGCATTCCTACCGGCGTCCAACAGTCATTATATTTCTTGACCTAAAGGCAGCATTCGACTCTGTCGATCGGGAAGTTCTCTGGAGATGCTTGGCTGTAAAGGGAATTCCAAGAAAATATATTGCACTGATTAAGGCACTCTACTCGTACTCATACAGCCAGGTGAGGGCTTACGGCGAGCTGTCATCTGAACTGATGACGACCAGTGGTGTCCGTCAAGGATGCCCATTATCTCCTTTTCTATTCAACTTCATCATAGATGTGTTAATGGACTTAACCCTAGGTGACTTCAGCGACTCAGGGATTGACTTGCTACCGGGGAATAATCTCGTTGACTTGGAATATGCAGACGATATAGTCCTTCTAGGCGAAGACGCTGACGAAATGCAGAGTCTTCTAAACACCTTGAGCCGCAATCTACGAATGTTTGGCATGCGATTCGCTCCCGCCAAATGCAAGATGATGTTACAGGACTGGACTACATCGACGCCTAGTTTAAAAATAGGAAGTGAAGTGGTAGAGCACGTTGACCGCTTCACTTATTTGGGAAGTACCATCAGCCCCAACGGGCTGATCTCTGACGAAATCTCAGCACGAATACAAGGGGCTCGTTTCGCATTTGTTAGTTTACGCCGACTCTGGCGTAGACGAGATGTTCGACTATCGACCAAAGGGCGGGTGTACTGCTCATCAGTCCGCTCCGTCCTCCTTTATGGTTGTGAGACCTGGCCACTGAGAGTGGAAGACATGAAAAGACTAGCTGTCTTTGATCATAGGTGCCTGCGTTCTATTTCCCGTGTAAAGTGGCATAATAAGGTGAGCAACATGGAGGTTAGGCGTAGAGTTCTAGGTAAACAGGGGAAATCAATCGACGAAGTCGTGAAGCTACAAAGACTGAGATGGTTAGGACATGTGTTACGTATGCCAAGCCATCGCCTCCCTCGACGAGCAATGTTAGCGGATATAGGGTCAGGCTGGAAAAAAGCTAGCGGCGGTCAAACAAAAACTTGGCATCAGTCAATGAAATCCACAACAGTTGGTCTAAGCCACGTAGAAAGGTGTAGACTTCCAGGCTGGGGTCCTCGGGACGGTAAAAATCTATGGTTGGAAACAATTGGTGACATGGCTCAAAATCGTTCTCAGTGGCGCAGATGCATCCACTCCCTGTGACTTATGATCTTCAATGAAACTGTTTTGTATTTCTTTATTACTCCTTTGTCTCACACCTCTGCTCACTGTTTCTATTATGCTTTTCTTGTACTTTCTTCTCTTGCTTCGCGTGCTACACGGAATGTGGCGACTTGAACTTCCGCACATTTGTGCAAAGTTCTATGTCGAAAACAGACAGACAGACAGTTCCTTAAAAGCACTCTACGGATTTGATATTGGTGCTTTCAAAGTCCGGACCAACAAGTCTCACTAACTGAAACTACGGCATTTCGGATTTATACTGTGGCATAATTACCAGCGTCCAGCTTGAACTAATGCAGTTCTGTACATTTCTACATTGATAAATTGATTAGTCGGCAGCAACAGTACCAACTGAAAAGACTTCAGTAAATAGAGTTCAGTTCGAATCAATGAGATTTGTTGCGATTTAATCAAAATGATGTCAACCAGAAACATCTCAGGCTTTGCAGAAGTTAAATAGTTCATGGTTTGTATCACAATCTACTGTATTCGTTAACAAAGTCCAGGTAAATGAAAGCTCTATGAAATTAATATCACTTTTGTAGATCGATACTGTACTGGGTCGAAAAATCAACAGAATAAAGAAATAAGCAGGAAAATTCCAGAAATAATATTTCCAGATCTTATGAACACTATTCCTCATAGTTAATTGGCGGGTTCGGGAATAAAGTACTCCGTACTCCATACTTATTCACTTAGTGGAGCAGGTATTCACAGTCTATACAACAAACACTTAAACTACCATAGTCACAAACATAACTCTGTGTTACTAGTTGATAACTTACTATTTTACTATTTGAGTGCATATCATCGATTTTATTTCGATACTGAAAGTAAGACTTGAATATTACTATACAGCCATATATTACGACCGAATGTAAAAGATAGGTATCTCACTATCTAATTAGTTTTTCGCTTGACAAATAAACATTTTTAACACTGACAGAAATTATGGTGAACAAAGATACAAAAGTACAAATGAGACTTTCGAGAGTAAAAAGAAGACAGATATTTACAAACTGCCAAAAGTGTGAAACGTGACAACTAATTTGTTTGCAGTACTCAACGAATGGAATTCACTGAATGAGTTAGTAATAATCTGGTTTTTGGGTTCTAGTAGCAATTATATTTCCATGTTTTTTTTTAGAGTAAAGTACGATGATTGTGTAGCAGTGAAAATACATAGCCGGGTAATTGGTAGTTTTTCTTCCCTTTCAACAGAGAAGTCAGAATTGCTGCAAATACTGCTTTACAAGAGTGAAATGACCTAGGTAAACCTGATAGAAAAGACTGACTACCTAATCAGGACACTAGTTATTGAAAGAAGTGATTAGTTGAAAGATTACTTTCGAAAATTAAATGTGAGGGTTATACCTAATTACAACAGTAAGTTAAGCAGACACGGTTGATAGACACCAGAAATCTTGCTTAAAATTGAATTAAAGATAATGGGAGAAATGAACTCGACACGAATAGGCTGACAGTCTACACTTAAGAGAGTCATACTTTGCAAATACATGCGACAAATGCAACGCTATCAAGGCCTTGGAAGATTCGGGAAGTTATTTTGCTCTAATCACTCATTGTATTTATGTTTACTCATTTCTCGTATTTACTCTAGCACGACTGATGACCTTCATGCAAGATAAACGAAGAGAAAGGCATTATTTTGCCACCCCATAGCTTTGACATGTGTGACTGACAAAATCTACAGCTGATGAGATTATTGACTGAGTATTTGATTCAATGTGACGAACTGAAGGTTCACCCACCAATCCTTCGTATCCTGCATGAGATGACTGAAAGAATACATCTGAACCTTGAATACATCGGATTACAACTTCAAAACACTATCAATGAAACTATTTGAGAATAACTTACTGTTTTACTGGGCAAGGTAGGACCTTTTATAAAAGTTTATTAGTACGAATCAGCATACTTCCGAAGCAGTGCACATAAAGGTATAGAAATTAAATATCATACAATTATTTCGCTCGATTAAGTTGACTAAAACAAGAAAAACATACTGAGTCGGATAAAAATTACCTAATTGTATTCCGTTGGTGCCTGTCACGTGAGTACAACCATGAACAATATCAGTATACCAAAGATTCAAATATTTTAGTTATGGAGCTGTATGAGAATTTTAGTAGCTTTGTCGAAAAACCTATGGGGTCTGATGAAGAAATTGTTTTAGCACAATGAAAAGCTTCGTTCAAGGGAAAACTTTATGATAAGCTATCACTGAAAAATGCTTACTGAATAATAGATATCCTAAAAAATTCAGTGATGAACACAATACACAAGCAACATTTGACACAGTTGAAAATAATTCAGTCTTCCATCATATTCGATTCAAAAATATATATCCATCACCTTTATAATCAATAACAAGTATTTGAATACTTTGCAGTGGTATTAAATTGTTCATGGTTGTACGCATCTCTCATCATCATGTTAGTTTGCTCAACATGTTCTCCTTGCTTTATTCAAGAAACGAAATGTAGTGGAAAATATTCAAGGACAAGAATAATTAGATAAAGGTGAATGACAATGTTCAGAATTTGGATAAGGAGGGAATACATCTGCGCCTTTGAGACAGATCTTGATCTATATCAAGTCTTGAACTACTAACTCAGAATTTTGAGAACCCCAGTCGAGTAATTTACAACTCCATAAGTAGTTTTAAGGAATGTTGTTTGACCATCCGTTGCTCTTTCCCTAACATGATGCTACTGCAGCCAACCCCGACCGAAAGCTGCTACCTTGACGTGGTGGTCGGGCTTGAACACCTCAATGGCCCAGCAAGCTATACTGGCTGAGACTTA